AGTATTGTTTTGTGATCTTTGGCTTTACATTTACATTTTATGACTTGTGACATTTATTTTTTATATTAATTTTATTGAGAAAGAAATAGCAATGAGACAGTTTTGAAACAGGTTAGTAGGACAGTTATATTTTCTTTGTGCTCAGATACCATCTCCTCTAAAGTCCAGGTGTGCTGAGGCAGTGCAGTTTTATTAGGGCATTAATAGGAAAGAATACAGTAAGTGGGACTTATTAGCAGTTAAAAGCTTCTATAATTTCATCCTCTGAGAAGTGTGTGTTCATCTTGGATGCCCATTTCTGGGTTGGGTCTTTAAATTTTGGGGCCTTAATGTTTTTTAGTTCTCTATAAATTCTAGAGAGCAGACCTTTGTCTGAGTGCTTATTAGTGAAGATTTTTTCAAAATTTGTGGGTTGTCTTTTCACTTTGATGGTAACTTCTTTTGACGTGCAAAAACTTATCAATAAGAGTTGTTAATTCTTTCAAGTATTACCCATACAATTTGTATTACCATGCAATTAGATTTTTGTTCACGAACTCTTTGCTTACCCCTATATCTTCAAGAGTTCCTCCTATTTTCTCTTCCAGGAGATTTAGCGTTTCTGTTTTAATGTTTAGATCTTTAATCCATTTTGACTTTAGCTTAGTGCGTAGTCATAGACCTGGGCCAAGTTTTAGTTTTCGGTATATAGAGAGCCAGTTTTCCAGCACCAATTGTTAAAGAGGCTATCTCTTAATTCAGTGAGAAGAAAGATTTGTACTAATAGTGTTTGGACAGGATATCATGTCTGCACCTTGTACTATGACTAACCACTATGAAGACAACAATATGCAATGTATTAATTATTGAAACTGTCCTACTAATTGGTTTTGAAACTGTCTCATTGCTATTTGTTTCTCAATAAAATTAAGTTTAAAAAAAGAAAGAGAGAAAAGAGGAAAAAATGGAAACAGCTTTTGTAAATGAGGAGGGAAGGCTTAAATGTCAAATATGAAAAAAAGGAACACATATATCATGTTCAGGTACAAATTCTCTATGATGAATGTGAGAATTATGTATATCTAAAATGTATCAGTAAAATCTTATTTTAAAAAAGCAAGAACTGGGGAGATAGCTTAGTAGGATAAGTGCTTGCCTGGCAAGTGCAAGGGCCTGAGTTCAATCCCCAGTTCCGCCAAAAAAAAAAAAAAGCAGGCAAGCATCAAGCCCTGCACCAGCAGGCTGGACAGGAAAATTCCTAGAAAGCTCTTGGGATGCCCAGTGGTGATTGGATGCAGGAGTTTGCCATGAGGCCCGTGAGGAGGAGGGAGATAAGCTAGGGTCTGGCAGCAGTAGGCCAGACAGGAAATTCTCTGAAAGTCTGGTTGGTGGTTGGCCATACAGGGAAATGACTAGAAGAGGACTGGAGTGGCCAGTGATGGCCTGCTGGGATAGAGCTCACAGGGCCATGCTCCGAATTCAATTTTAGGGAGTGGATTTTACTGAAGAGATGACACCACTCTGGTATCATTAGCTTGCTTTGTTGAGTTGTATGACCACCACTGTTGGGTGCAGCTTACTTGGCGTACAGGCGCAAACACAGTGTCCATAGGCAGTATGAGTCTGCCCAGTTTTCAGCATCCTTCAGATAGTACTTATATAGATAGTCTGGTCCCTGTCATTTTATAATAGCCCTTGGCAGCTATCAGTGGTGCTTCAAGAATGTAGTGAGGAATGCCCTCAAGACCATCAAACACACCAAAGGTGGAGCCACCTTGGTGGTTCGTGTACCAAGGAAAGATACTGTGTTTGGTGGCATCAAAGAAAGTAAGTGCCCAAGTCCATGGACGAATTGTCCACCTGTACTCTAGGACCTGGACTGGACACCAGCTAATGGCTGCTGCCATTGCATGAAGGAGGCTGCTGCAGATGCCACAGGGGACCAGAGCCGGGGGACAGTAGCAGCCATTTATTTACAGCAACTGTCACAACCTCAGATTTACATTGCCTTCAATCCATAAGCTTGCTCTCACTTATTTTATTTCTCTTTTCTTTTTTATGTATTTAGTCCAGGGAATCCAGGGTCTCACTACACAGATCAAACTCATAGTGATCCTCCTGCTTTCAGCCTTCCAAGTGCTGGGATTACAGGCCCGTGCCACCACGCCCAATCTCAGTCACTGTCTCAGCACCCCCCCCCCCGGAGGGGCAGGGCTGGCAAGGCAATTTGGGGATCAAACCCTGGTCCCTGCATTTTGGGGGTGGGCTGAGTCAGCCACCCCCCCAAAACATGTGGTTTTGACAAGGTCCTGGGTGATCAGTGCCCTGTGGCCCTCTGCATCCCTTCATCATGCACCTCTACCTATCAGGCTATGTTTGCCTTGGGGTCAGCCAACCATGGACTGAACCTTCTGAAAAATAAGCCTTTAAGACACAGGTGTTGTGTGTTTGGGCCCAGTAATAGGAAGTGGTGAATACAGGCAGTTTTACTGCTTGGATTCCTGGTTTGTTCGTGAGATGCTGGGGCTCAGAGTTCTGTCTTTACAGATGGACTGGCCTGGTTTTTGTGCCTGTGAATTCCCAATCCTGAATGCCTTCTGCTTGACTTTGTAGATCAACTCTGTGCTCCTGAGTTGGACACTGTGGATCCTGAGGCAGAAGCTTTGCAGCGTCAACGCCGATGTCTCCACGCTCAAAGACAGCAGGTGTGGCCCTTCACCCTCTCTTACCCTCTGGTGTCTTCTCTCTCTTCTAGCAAAGCGTCAACAAGTGCCTGAGGTATGGCCGTCGGCACCTGCCCTAGTGCCTTTCTTGTTGCTGCGACTCTGTACCCAAACCCCCAGTGCAAGGGAAGGCAGGTTTATTTTGGCTTATAGTTTGCAAAGACTGCAGTTCCTGCATGGTCTGCTGCAGGTGCAGAGAGTGCTGCTCCCGTCACAGCAGCCAGAAAACAGAGCAAAGGAGCGGCCAGGGTGGGCAATGCAACTCCAGGGGCCCAGGAACCCACTCTTCCTGCCAGGTCCTACCTCCTAACATCACGTTTCTGTCGTCCCTGAGGACAGTGAGGCTCTGGGCAGTATCCAGATATAAACCAGAGCAGCTCCTAAGACCAAGTGGTTATGAGACTGGTACAGAATGCCACACCTGCTGCTCCACAGCTACTGTCTATGAGCTGTGTGACTTTAGAAAAGATATGTAACCTCTCTGAACCTCGGCTTCCTCATCCATCATATTGGGATCTTGATATTCCTTGCTGTGCATGTCTTACAAAACATTGAACACAGTTAGTAGTAAACAGTGAACACGGACTAGCTTGCAACTATCAGTGTATTCACAATGAATACTCATATATATGTGCATACGTATCAGAACCAGAATCATGTTGTTGTTGTTGTTGTTGTTGTTGTTGTTGAGTCAGGATCTCACTGTGGAGTTCACACTGCCTTGAGCTCAGTATATAACCCATGCAGGCCCCATTGTCATGGCAGTCCTCCTGTCTCTGCCTCTCAACGGATTGCTGGACTGTGCCACCATGCCCTGATGGAATAATATTTTTTTAATTTTAATTTTTTAAAATTTATTTGGTACAGGGTCTTACTACACAGCTCGGACTGCATAGCTATCCTCCTGTCTCAGCCTCCCTAGTGCTGGGATTACAGGCGTGTGCCACCATGCCCGGTTTCGGGGCCAGCACAGTGTGCCCAGACTGGTATGGCATGCGGTACTGGGGATCGAACCTGGGTCCTTGCGCTTGCCAGGCAGACGCTTAGACTATCTCCCTAGCTCTCATATGTGCTATTTTATACTAGACATGGAGGGCTTTCCCATGCTCTTTCACAGCATGAGTGTTTTTGCTTTCTGCACAAAACTCAGGGCATTGTAAGACCCTGCTACAGCCAGATCTTGTCTGTATCTCCCCATCAGTAACTTGGTGATACCTGCTGCTTCACTTTCGGTCCATATCTAGGTTCTTAGCAATGTTGAGTTTTTTCCAAAAGTGAATAGGAAAAGTTAAAGCAAAGACATCCGCATGACAGAGAGTGGAACAGCAAAGGTCAACTAAGATGAAATTTGCCATTTTATTCATCTAACCATGACAAAGTCTACAGTCTGGCAGCTTTGAGCACACTCCCAAGATTTTGCGACCACCACCCCATGTACTTCCAGATAGTTTTTATGTCCCATAAAGAAGCCCGTATGTGTTAGCATTTGGGTACAAGACTGAGGCTGAACCCAGGACACTGCTCTAAGGTCACCTGCCCTTTTTACAAAAAGTATGCATTTGGTTCAGGGTCTCACTACACAGCTCGGACTGCACAGATATCCTCCTGTCTCAGCCTCCCCCAGTGTTGGGATTACAGGCATGTGCCACCACACCCAAACTCGGTCTCCAGGGTCAGGGCCAGCACAGCATGTAGTGCTGGAGATTGAACCCCGGTCCCTGTGATTGCCTAAACAAGAGCTTAGTCCCCCGAGCTATTTCACCAGCTCTTCTAACTATCCTTTTTTATTTTGTATTTTGAGACAGAGTCTTGCTAATTCATCCAGGTACAGCTACAACTGTGCTCTTGCTGCCTCAGCCTCCCAGATTATAGGCCTGCACCACCACCATCCACTGTGCATTTCTTTCTTTCCTGTGATTATCGAGTGGTTGCAGATCTGTCCCATCCCAAGCAACCACTGTCACTCAAATAGTCTAGGTCTGTCCCTTCCCCTATATTTTTCATAAATGACAGAACCCATGTATGGCATCCTCTTCCCGATATGCCCTTGTGACATGGAGCTCGTTTCTTATCAATACATGTGCCCAACAGAAACTAACAGAAATGGCTGTACTTTGCACTGCCCCCATCTCCTCTCTAACCTGTAGAATGAGTTTTCCCATCTCCTCTCTTACCTGTAGAATGAGTTTTCCCATCTCCTCTCTAACCTGTAGGATGAGTTGATGGTGTAGGCACTGCAACAATATCCCCAGATCCGGATGAGAAAACTGAGGTGCAATGGGGTTATGCAGGCTTTTATGTCTGAGTTCTTTGAGTCAGCATGAAATTTTCAGGATTCACCTGTGCTGTGCACCAATTTTTGTGTATTTAGCACAGGGTCTGCAGGGTCTCACTACACAGATCAGACTCGTAGTGATCCTCCTGTTTTCAGCCTCCCAAGTGCTGGGATTACAGGTGCACGCCACCACGCCCAGTCTCAATTACCTCTCGGTGCACCCTGGGGATGGGGCCGGCACAGCAGGCTGGGGATCCAACCCCAGTCCCTGCATCTGCCTACAGGCGCTTTAGTCCGCTGAGCTATCTGGCCAGCCCATGCATCATTTTTGCCTTGTCCTTTATTACGACTGACTAGCATTCCTTCAAGTGGACATACCACATTTTGTTGATCCATGCATGTTTTTGTGACCATTTGGGTCTTTTCCACTTGTGGGAAAGTGGAATGGGTGGACTGCTTCTCAGTAAGTATTCAGTTTCTGAGATAATAAAGATGATTTAGAACTCTGTAGTGGTGAGGCTTATGTGACATCACATGACAACCAGCACGGCCAACTTGCACGCTTCAGTTTAAGTGGTGAACTTCAAGTGAGGTGAATTTTATCTCTATAAGAGAAAGTCTTCATTGTATTTTACATGATGGTTTCACCAATCATTTGACATACCTCTAACTTTGGACACCTGGATCCTTCTAGACTTTGATAAACACAAGGAAAAAGGCATCATCCGGCCCATCATCCATGCATCTTTGTGCCGTGTATAACACAGGCAAGCTCCATTTGAGTTCCCTACATCTGAGGCTGGAGATTTCACGCTGCCTTTGTCCACCTCCACCACCACCCCAGGTCGGCAGCACGCCAGCAGCCTCAGCTCCTATGAGTGCTGCCTGAGAGGCCAGTGCTGCCCCCCTCATCCTTACACTTTGCATCTCTTCCCTCCTAGGTTGCTGACCTTCAAGGCCTTCGCCCAGCTCTTCATCTTGGGCTGCACCTGGGTGCTGGGCATTTTCCAGATTGGACCCATAGCGAGTATCATGGCCTACCTGTTCACCATCATCAACAGCCTGCAGGGGGCCTTCATCTTCCTCATCCACTGCCTGCTCAACCGCCAGGTACATAAAGCCCCCATGCATCAGCCGGACTCCATGAACCAGGACCATCCTCCTGCTCATGCAGCAGGGGTGAGCGTCCTGTGCTATCTCTGTGTCTAGGTTCGAGAGGAATACAGGAGATGGCTCAGAAGAAAGAGCACGCCCAGCTCCCAGCCCCAGACCTCAGGGATGCTGCTGTCCTCCGCACCCTCCACTTCCAAGATGGCAAAGGACTGCCCATCTCCCAGAGATTCTGTTCTCAAGGAATGCTCATCATGCGACCACACTCAACAGGGACAGGTCTCCTGGGAGGTGAGTGTGGGCCAGGTCAGGTGTGGGGATGGAGATGGGCTGTCTAGGTGTAAATCCCAGCTCTTTGCCTTATTGGCTACACAGCATCCAAAAGGATAACATCACAGCTCACGTAAATATAAAATAAACGTGTGTTAGGGATTTTATTCTATGCACTCATCAATGAGGGTACCAGGTGGATGTTAAGCTGACTCAAAAGAGAAGGCAGGGCCAGAGAGGTAGCTCAGTGGTCTAAGCACCTGCATGGCACGTGCAAGGACATGGATTTGGTCCCCAGTACTGCGAGCTGTGTTGCTGTGCTGGCCACCAAAACCAGGTGTGGTGGCACATACCTGTAATCCCAGTACCAGAGAAGCTGAGATAGGAGGATCACTACAAGTCCAAGTTGTGTAGCAAGATTCTATGCTAAATAAATAAAAAAATTTTTTATTTTTTAAAAGATTTTTTTAAAGGAGAAT